AACTAAAACATAAACAAATAAAAGATGCTAAGTAGACGGTCATGATGTTTAATTTAATTTCTCGATCCAACATCTTCACTTTCGCCACGTGTCGCTTCATGGTCAACACCCTTGTTGGCATCAAAACCCGATTTCTCATCTTCATTTCCCATTTTTCCTTTGGCCTGAACCCTAGGTGTCCCAAATTCCATCAGATCTTCAACCATTTCATCGAGATCACCTTGATTCATTACAAAATCTTCCTCTTCTTCAATCTCTAACTAGTGCGGTACCCCGTGCGATGGACTGGCTAGTTTTATAAAGGTAATCATTTAAATTTAGATGACTGGATGATTAGATGACGTTAAAATGCATGTATTGGAATACGTGCGATGCACGAGCTAGTTTTATTAAGGTAATCTTTTAGATTTTGATGACTGGATAATTGGATGAACGTTAAAATGCATGTATTGGAATAAAAGAATATGTGACTTATTATTATTAAATGCATCATTGTACACAACATATTATTTGTTTTATTAAATGCATCCTTGTACACAACATTATTATTTGTTTGGTCTTTTGGTACATCGTCTACCGCCACAAATTATATTAGGATTCTAGATAGGCTTAAACAAATCAATTAAATTATTTAGCAGGATACATATGATATGATTTATACTTCTTTTATGAAGATTGCATAGACAAATATAACGGAGATTGTAAAACGTCATTTTTGATATTCTATAGCCTTATTATTTAAAAATTATAAATTACTACTTAAAGAAGGAAAAAATTGTGTAAGTGTATACCATCAATTTCAAATTTGTTCTTCTAGAGAATTAAACAAAAGTCAAATTTTTAGGATGTTTCAGTCCGATTTCATTTTACATTTCAAATTAATATTATTTGACTCTATTTTATGTTTTAGAAAATCTGAACTAAAAAAATAGTAGCCAAATGATGAAGGATTTTTAAATTCTAATTTTCAATTTGAAATTGAGCCCGATCTACGCAATCCAAATTTTTTAAATAAACATTATATGTTGCAATTAGGTAAAGATAAATGTTATAGTATTTTGCTCAATTCCAAATTCCCGATTTTATGGTAAACATATTTTTTAATAAAAAATGAGATAATTTCGACTTTTACAAAATTGTCATGCAGGATTTTACATAAATTTAACTTGATTTCTATGCAACTTGATTGTTTTTAATCAACAATTGATCTGTTGCAATTAGGAACAAGTATATGTGATAGTATTTCGCTTAATACGATATAACACTCCACTGTTCATACCTTGAATATGTAGAATACATTTTTCTTTTCATAAACCATTTGCAAACTTTACTTGAAACTTAGGGCGCTGCTTATTTTGAAAACATTCCACACATACATACATACATACATGCATACATGAACCTGTCATAAACATAAAACATTATATAGTGTTGCTTCGAGGACTTACACATTAACTTGTCTCACATGAACCTCGACTTACTACATAGACATAAACTTTACTCAGCGGAAGCATTTAAAGCATATAAACATGAACATTTAACCATTTGACCACACTCGCCATCGCTCAATTGCCAGCTCACAAAAACATGGGTGTGCAAAATAAAAGGGTGAGCATTTCCACTTACTCCGTGACGAATCCTTCTAAGTTAATATCCTAACCAACTATCATGCATGAAATTGTTAGGTATACTCAACATAATCATGAGCTCTCGACGAGCAGTTGCCCACAAGTCGAAAGACTTTCTTGCTTCTACAACCCCAGGAAACTAAACACTAAAGTCATAGCACGCACGTGAGTTCACTATTGTCACACTCCCACCCCTCATCAAACTCTGTACATCACTTTATGGTGGTGGGAGAACATTGTCTCTCGCAAGTGGCACAACAAACTAGGCTTCATGAGGGTACCTCCCATGGGTTGACGGAAAACAGCCTCAACATAAGCTCCGTACGGTCTTATCAACGGGGACAACCATTCGAAGAGTGTACCAACGAAGGTTACATGCACGCACTTACATGCTCTAACCCTAGAACCTAGCCACCCTCTAGAGTTATAGTTCGTGAACCTTGGTACTTGCAACAAACGACTTGCTCGTATGTTAGAACATTTTGTGAACATGGGTACTATGCAAGCTACTTACCTTCATTCAAAACATATATAATCAAGAAGGATATATAACGTAGAACTTCCCCCACCTTGTTTGGAATGATTTTGTTAAAGGGGGTTGGTGAAAAAAAGTAAACCTTATTTGGTAGGAAAATAAAATAGCAGTAAAATAATCTTAGTGACATGCATATCCTTAATGATGTTAGAAATAAAAACTAAAATATTATATATATTAAGGGAAAAATTGTAATTGCATTTATTGAAATTTCCCCTCCACTCCATTCCTCCATTTTTGGAGGGAAACAGAAATGGGGAGGGAATGAGATTTTAAGTTAAAATTATTTCTCTCTTCCTATCCAAAATTCTCCAACCAAACAAGAGAAAAATAAATACATCTCCCCTCCCTTCTCCTCCTTTTTCCCCCAACCAAACAACCCTGAAAAGAGATAAGAATAAATTTGTAACATTGTATTTATCATGTCAACGGTCATGATTAGGTCAATTATTAGTAAGTAGAAGTCAAACATGCATGGCATTCTCGTAAATAAATTGTCAATATGGTCAAATATATAAATTTGACCACTCATTAAGGGTAAGATTGTTAATGCACATAATCCTACCCCAACTGACTCCCCCTAGTTCGTTTCTTTCTGTCACTTGACAATTAGAATTTATAGATGGTACTCTCTTTATGTTTAATATAATATAATAATGTTTTTCATTGTTTAAAAAGAAAATGAATAAAAATATCAACCATCCATATCCATTAGGAAATTCCAATACAAGACCCAATATTTTAAAATTGTATTAATTTAAGACCTAAATTTTATTATTCTCAACAGAAGTTTACATTTTATGTTGTTTTCAAGTTGAGGCTCATCTTTTATTTAACTTATTAATGTAAGACCCAACTAACGTTACCTTTTGACATAAATATGTAAACCATAATATTATAAAATATTACATATTAATTACATATTGATAATAAAAATAGTAACTATATTTAACAATTATTTCAAATGAGGAGATATATCATATAAGTTGTATTTATGCAAAAATATAATAAATTTGATTTTTTAAAAATGATAAGAGTTAAAAATACAAAAACAAATATTATTTTGGTTAATATTATAAATATGTAATAAAATTTTTAATAAATAAAATATGTAATAAAATTAGAAAATTTGAAAGTCGAGTAATAAAAAAAAGGAAATCGAAAGTGTACATAAATGGTATTTCTTACTTTAATTACATACTTTGCTTATTAATAAGGATAATATTTAAATTACATATTTTTTAAATTCACTTATCAATTTTTAAAAATAATCTTTATTAAACTTTTGCATAAAGTAAATTATGCATACTCATTTTACTACTAAGGTAATTTTACAAAAGATATTAATATTTTTATTACAAAAATATAAAATATAAATTACAATAAATTAATATTTTTATTCACATAATCATATCATAAAATAAAGTTATTTGAGTTTTATATTTGAGTCTTACATTGAGAAGTACATATTAAAGTGGAGTGAGAATAATTTAAAATGTAAATCTTATACTGAGAAACAATAAAAGTTCAAACCATGAATTAATACAATTCAAAAAATTTAGGCCTTGTAATGAATGTAATCCTTCATATTATCAAAAATCATTTTTTCCATCATTTGACCAATAAATTCATCCCAAAACCATCTTCAATTGCTTCCAAAAGTACTTATCTACGGATTTAAAGGGGTTTTTTCATTTGGGATTCTTAACGATTTATTGAGATTTAAAGAATTTTGATGTATTTAATCTATATTTTGAAAATTTTTAAAAATCCTTATGTATTCATTTTAATTTTCAAAAAGTCTTAACAAATCACGAGGATTTTAACTTATTTGACACTTAAGATTTCTAGGAGTTTAAAATTTGTGATTTCAGAAACAAAAATCTTATACGAAATCTCAATTAAATCCTACCTCCAAACTTATGATTCTAAAAAATTTCCTTAAATCTCAAATCTCAAAATTCTTAAAATGTCTTACCAAACGAATGCATCATCCTAAATGAATACAAACTGAATTGCCATTGGATGTGGAGAAAAAGGGCGCAAAATCAATATGTTGTAGATGAACTTGTGCTTGAGAAGGATGTAGTTTCCACGTCGAGAAAAAGGCATATGAAAAAAAAAAAAAAAAAAAAGTTTGAAATAAATTGTGAAAGTATATTTTTGTGAGCTCGTATTTACATGTTTGTATATAAATATATCCGCTCAATTTAAATTTTCTAATTTAAAAAAAATATGATATGATAAGTTGTTAGTGAAATTTGTAATTTTATATTAAAATAAAATAATTAAAATTAATTTAATTTAAAAATAGGAAAAAAAATGATTTAAAGTGATACTTAAAATTATGTAAGTTAATGAATAAAACAAAATTGATTTAATCTATAAGAATAATTAATTAGTATTATTTAATTATATTGACTATTAGAATTAGTAAAATTGAATCAAAATTGAATTATTTTTTAAATATAAATAAAGTATGGATTGAGTTCTTCCGTATACCCTAATTTGAATTAAAGTCTTTTTATTTTCGCATTCCAAATTTTATGCAAGTTATCAAATACCCACAACCATGGATTCTTCAAGATAAATTAAATTTCATTACAATTTTGGGAAGAAAAAAAAAAAAGGATGGAGAAAGAAAGCTAAAACGCTAGCCTGTCTGCTAAACAAAAAGAGATGATACACATGGGTCCAATGCATATCCGCTTGGCGTGCAACCTTTTAACTTACTAGGATATTTTTATCATCATTATCAGCTGCATTAAAACACAAAAAGTGTCTGGTTAACTTACTAGGAGTGGTGAAGCACCAAAAACTCTTGAAGACATCCTTCATCACAGCTTGAATAGGAGTCCCCCGTGAGTTGCGAAGAAGGGAGCAAAAACAAGGGATTCGACGGCCATAAGCTTGATGAGGATGTTGAGAGAAGGTCCCGAGGTGTCCTTTAGTGGGTCCCCAATGGTGTCCCCAATGACCGCTGCCTTGTGTGGGTCTGATCCCTTAGGGCCCAGGGTTCTTGCGTGCTCCGAAGCGCCAGCCTGTACACAAAAGAAAATCGACTTTTCAGAAAGAAGATAAAAAAATGAAATTTTAGGGGAAAACAAACCTCAAATCATGAAACCATGATGTTTCTTACCTCTATGTATTTCTTTGCATTGTCCCATGCACCGCCGGTATTGGATGCAGAAATCGCAATCTGTAAATAGAGATTGATTACAAAATATGCGAAGGGAAAATATCGTCAGGCCAAATAAAGGGAGACCAAAACAATCTATTTTGGAATTTTGGCTTTACCCTTGAAGTTTAGTCAAAATGGAGAATTAACAAATTAATAATTTATTAAAAAAAAACGTCGGACCTTCACATTTTATTTTACTTGACACCACGAAAGGGGGGTTTGTGAAATAAAATAAAAACACACTTCAGGGGGGCATTTTTAAGGGGACCAAATCTCTTGTTCCACTTCAATGTTTCATTGTGTGCTATGAATGACGTGTCTTCCATTTTGTGTTATGAATGACGTGTCTTCCATTTTGTGTTACGAATGACGTGTACAAATATGATATTATCATGGCATGATTCGTCATCCAATGGAATGAAACACAAAATGGATGGAATAGGAGATCACGTTTTGTTAGTCAAGGTAGATGAGAACTCTTAAATTTGAACCCCAAAAATAAGTAATCTTACCTGAACACCAGAAACAAGAGAGCCAGCGAGAACGCCAGAGAGGGTCTCGACCCCAAAAAAGGTCCCAACAATGAGAGGGGTGAGCATGACGAGTGCTCCGGGAGGTATCATCTCCTTAATGGAGGCATCAGTGGAGATCTTGACGCACGTTGCATAGTCGGGCTTGGCATGGCCCTCCATGAGCCCGGGGATGGTGTTGAACTGCCGGCGGACCTCTTCAACCATCTTCAGAGCCGCACTACCAACACTCTTCATGGTCATTGCTGAGAACCAGTAAGGCAGCATGGCCCCCACAATCAGACCAATGAAGACTTTGGGGGTCAACACATCAACTGTCAAGATCTCGGCACGGCTCACAAATGCGCCGAATAGGGCTAACGAAACGAGCGCAGCAGATCCAATTGCAAATCCCTGTGAACAAACAAATGCGAGAGTATTGTTAACAACATGCAACGTTTAGGACAAGGAAAAAAAAAATTACAAGGTTGTACTACATTAATATGATTACTAAGAACAATGCTGCTGAAAAAAATAGCATGTTTTGGCATCGGATAGACAGAGCAAGTTGCTTTAAGAGAATTTAAAGAAATAATCAAGTTGGTGCAATTCAGGTGTTCATTCGACTTCAGGGATCAAATACAAATTACACGCAAGGTACGGCCTATTTTTTCCATGTTTGTTTTTTTACGAAAGAGTCATTTTTCAAAATTACCAGACCCCATAAGTTTTTCAGACACCTAGTTCAAGTTTGCACTTAATTAACAAATATGAGAAAATGTATATTTTTGGACTGCATGCTAAAATCTAGGGGGTTCTTGCGATACAGTTAATAGTTTTGTCGTATAACTAGAGCTTCTCTTTAAGTGTTGGGTCCCAACATTAAGCATAACATTTCTAAATAATAGTTACCATATTATTTGAATATATAGTTACCATATTATTTGAATATATTCACAGTTTAATTTTGCAACTTCAAATTCTACATACATACATATTCCACTAAATAATAGCAATGAGAAAGCTAATAAACAATAAATACCTTTCCAATAGCAGCAGTGGTATTTCCAGCAGCATCAAGGGCATCAGTTCTCTCACGAATCCTGTGGCTCATACCAGCCATCTCAGCTATACCTCCAGCATTGTCACTGATAGGACCATAGGCATCAATGGCCAACCCAGTGGCGATCGTGCTTAGCATACCCAAAGCAGCCACAGCAATGCCATACATGGCAGCAAAGGTGAAACTAACGAAAATGCTAATAGCGATAGCAAAAATGGGAATGATAACTGATTTATATCCCAAGGCAAGACCAAATATAACGTTGGTAGAAGCACCAGTTCTGCAGGAATCTGCAACGTCTTGCACAGGGCTGCCCATAGGAATTCCAAGACCAGGGTAGAATTAGTTCAAGTTAAAAAATAATGACATATTCTGAACTATAACTGAAGAAAAAAGGAGGAAAAATAAGTAAGACAATACAGACCTGTAGGCATTGCTGGTGTAATATTCAGTCACAAATCCAATGATAAGCCCAGCCCAGAGCCCAACACAAACACATAGGAATAGCTGCCTGCAAATATAAGCATTGAATGAGTTGTAGTAAATAACCAGAAAAGAAACAAATGAGAGAGGAAAAAAAAGCAGGAAAAGAAAAGAAAGAAATTGATCCCTGTCAAGTGAAAGTCGAAACAGGTAAGCAAATATAAGCACAGTGGCCCTGTGCGTGGACTCATTTCTTACCAGTTTTTCACATCTTTTTGGGTGCCAAAGTTGAAAATTGTGAAAGATGACGGCAGGCAGGTCCAGGTAACAACTGCAATTCCCACAGTCATAAGAATTGTAGATATAATAAGCTGCTTCTTCAACGCCGGCTCGATCTCCTCAACAGCCTTTATCTCGAAAAAGTCAGTAGCAAAAAGAGTAGTGATCAAGCACACAAGAATACCCATGGAACTAATAAGCAGTGGGTAGCACATTGCAGTGAAGTCATGAGTCTGTCCAAACGATGAAATTGACGCCACAACAAGAGCGGCACAAGATGACTCAGCATATGAACCGAAAAGATCAGACCCCATTCCTGCAATATCTCCTACATTGTCACCAACGTTATCTGCAATCACCTGCAAAATGAAAATGTTATACAAATTCTTTTCTTAACAGTAATATTTGAAAAATGTTCAGTAGCTGGGCTTACAGCAGGATTCCTGGGGTCATCCTCTGGAATGTTTCTCTCGACCTTTCCGACAAGATCAGCACCAACATCGGCGGCTTTAGTGTAAATGCCACCCCCAACTCTCCCAAACAAAGCCATAGAGGACCCACCAAGACCATATCCAGTAATTGCCTCAAAAAGGCCCTCCCAATCATCTCCATAATAGAGCTTGAATAGGTTGATGGCAATATACAGAACCAACAGGCCATTTGCAGCAAGGAGAAAACCCATAACCGCACCTGATCTAAATGCAACAATAAATGCTTTGCCGACACCTTTCCTAGCTTCAAGTGTTGTCCTGGCATTTGCGTAGGTTGCAATTTTCATTCCAAGAAAACCTGAGAGAACAGATGTGATAGCACCAAGCAAGAAGGATACAGTACTGAAGATAGCGACTGCAAGAGCTGGCTTGCACAGCTTCTCTTTATCGTATGTGCAGGGTCGGCTCTTCGTGCTGAACCCTTCGACCGAGCCCAAGAAAAGGAAGATGAGGATTGCAAAAGCAACCATGAAAATACCCACATATTGATATTCCGTAAACAGAAAAGATGTTGCGCCTGTTAATCCATTAAAAACATTAGTCTTGGAGGGTAAGTAAACCAATCAAGTTAGACTGCACAATAGAGTGAGAGAACTAACCTAAGCAACCGCATCTAAAAATGAAAAATCAATGAACTCAAAGTACACCGACATTAAGTGACACATCATAAATTTGTTAGGACTAATCAGCTCCACAAAATCATTTCACCAAAATTTAGTCGTAACCAATAGATCCCACAATTATTCATTCACATATAAGAAACGTAATTTTTCATTTTAAGAATATCCAATATAGTGCTTCTAATAGTTAGTCTCACATCATAACAATCTCAAATAAACCCAATCCTTCAACCCCAGATACAGAATAGCCACTACATATTCTTGGGCAAAATTATACCAAAAAAAAAAAGCGTGACGGCATTTATTTGCATATTTATTTATATCCAACTCAAAGAACGGCAGCATGCAGCGCCATTGCCACATGTGCTGTAAATGTGCAATACCATAAAAGTACAGCATCATTTTCCATTAAAAATAGGAAAAATAACCGGTAACTTTTAATAAAGTTAAACCGGTGATGAAGAACACCCCTAATTTATTACTCCAAGGATAAGCAGAAAATTACAAACCACTAGCGGAAAACAAGATGAAACGACAAAATAACTGAACAGACGCACCCACCAAACAATAAAATTCAATCTGTTCCCATAACCCTATGTCGGCTGACTCGGATCACACGTCATCTATAGGGAACTACAACGTCTACAATACACCAACCTTACAATTGCTCGCCTGTAATCCTAAGCACTCTATCTGCTGCCAAGAAAACCCACAGAAACATAATAACTAGTTTTAGCTATTTAAAAATAAGTCCAAAATCATTAGTTAATGACCTAAAACATCCCAATCACTTTCCATTAAATTTAGAAGATACAATTAAAAGGAATATGATAGAACAAAACACCTCATCACGAATCCCTAAGCAAAACAACACCTAATGGTTTCAGCGTTAAGAGTGGTTAAGCCCAATTTCCCAGCTCAATGAGAAACTTTTGGCAATATAAAAATCTATATAATCATAATTATCCTGTTCTTAACAGAGCATGCATATTTGAGCTAAAAGCAACAGAAAACACAGCAGGTTAAACTGGTAGCTTCAGCAATACAGCAAAACAAGAGAATTTCAAAGAACTGGACTTTACAACTTCAAAAATTAAATCCATTTCAAAAAAGTATATTTTTTTTCCTAAGATTTAAAGCTTTTATCAACAAACACTCTCAGCAGCAAAACACAGCTCAATCGACAAGCTCGCAGACACAAATCATAAACGCTATTTCACACAAAAACATCGACAACAGTCACACAATTAGTCGACAACAAAGGGAAAAAGAAAATAAAACAGATCTGGTCAAATTCTACAGAGCTGACCTTCAGAAATCGCGCTCTGGATTTCGGCGCACTTGACAACTACGTTTTGGTCGTTGATGCCTTCCTCCTCCTCAATCAAGTAGTCGCCGTACCCATTCTTCCCGTTCTTCGCCGCCGACGACTCGCCACCGCGGCCCGGCGTGAGCTTCACGCGCGCAACGAGTAGCCACTGTACGAGGGAGAAAGCGATGCCGATGACGGCACAGACCGGAATCACGATTTCCGCCCCCAGATCTGTTAGCAACGCCATTGTCACCGGAATCCTAACTCTGTAGGGAAATGCAAGCTGAAAAACTAGTGAAGTGAAAAGAAAAACAGAGGCGAGAGAACGAGAGTGAGCGTTGAGGATAAAAGGAACGAACAGTCAAGAATTTGGGGGGTTCTGTCAATAGCGGCTGAAGAGGATTTATAAATTGAAAATATAAAATGTAATGTGAAATTCAAATTGGGCAAAATCCTCTTATACATTGTACTCCTGCTTTAACCCTTATCTCTACTTTAGCGCAGACTTTACTCTACTGTATAGTAGAGTTGAACATTCATCTCCAGCCTTTTCTCTACATTTTACTCTACATTAAATATATTATTTTTTATTCATTTATTATTTCAAATAAATTGGTATATATGTATATTTAATCTTATATAAAATGTTAATTACTCAAATAATAAAAATATATTTTATTTATTTTTATTTAACATAACTAGTATGGTACCCGTGCGCAGCACGGCGAGGTTATTTCCTCAAACTTTTTTCTTTTAAACATTACTTTAATATTTTTTATAAATTAATAATTTAGTTACAATAGAAAGAGGATAGGGGAATACAAAAAATATAAACAAAAATCATATATTATTAAACACTTCTCTATACACAACATTATTGGTTTGATTTTCTTTAAAACCTTCTTCTCCACAAATTAAAATTTTCAGACCTTTTTTGTTAGTAACACGGGAGATAACGACATATAACTGGTCATGACTAAAAACTGGTTTCTTAAAGAATAAGCCAACATGCGATAATGATTGACCTTGACTCTTGTTTATAGTCATTGCATACGAAACCATAATGGGGAAGTGCCTTCTTTGAAATTTGAATGGTACTCTAACATCAGAAGGAGTTATTGTCATCCAATGTATCAAAACTTTATCACCTGCATGATCGCCAGTAAGAATTTTACACTCGAGAACATGATTGGAGAGTTTAGTCACAACCAATCGTGTACCATTGCAGAGTCCCATTGAGTGATTCATATTCCGCAACAACATAACTGGAGTTCCGACCTTCAAATTCAATTCATGGTTCAGCGTTCCAGAACACTTGATAGTGTTCAAGAACTCAGGAGTATGGAGTTGTGCCACAAAGTCGGTATTGGAGTCGGATTTATACGTAATGTCTGAACTTAAATACGTGCGTCCGTCAGTCAAATTTAACGACGACATGTATTCATTAATAGATTCTACGATATCGAGTGTTGGCGCAAGTACAGCTCTATCCTTCAAGTAACTTGGATCGTCGGTTGCATTCTTGAACATCGGAAACGTGCTTTCAACAATTTTTGCAATTGGATCATCGGATGGCTCTAGTAATAGATCATCTGGTATGTCTATCGGAGAACATCCATCATTTTTACCCCCCAATGTTCCATCTCCAATGCTCGCTATCCAATCACCAAAAGCGGCCAACTCGTCACGTTCATTAGAATCGCCAATGCTCTAAAGACGCATATTCTTTGTAAGCCTAAGCACAGTACATTCTCCCCAAATGCTAGAAGAGTTAATAGCAGGATTAAAAATCTCCTGACGACTCCCCTTTGGAACTACCGGAAGGATTTGTAGAAAGTCTCCACCAAACACAATAGTCTGGCCTCCGAACGGTTTATGATGATTTGTCGGGTCGAGGGCTCCCATTACTGCCTTAAAAGATGCTTGAACAGCTTCAAAACAATGCTTATGCATCAATGGGGCCTCATCTCATATGATCAATGAAGAGCGAATAATCAACTCGGCAAGGGGGCTAGCCTGATTGATCTCACACGATGAATTTTCATGCACGGAAATAGGAATGCCAAATCGAGAATATTGTGCAGTTCGTCCGCCGACAACAGGAGAGATGCTATTCCACTTGATGCAACACAAAGCACAATTCGACCGTGCAATCTTAGCCAAGCAGCTAAAGTCCTCCACAAGTATGTCTTTTCAGTTCCACCATAACCATACACAAAAAACACGCTGCCCTTGCCGGAATGAACAGATGTTATTATTTTGGAATAAACACCCTTATGTTCATCGGTCATATGTGTCAGCAATGCATCATGCTCAATAGCTAGAGCCTTACGGTCATAGTTAAGTTCATCCAAAACCAGACGGTTCGCACTTGAATTAATACTACCCATATCTGGAAAAGGCATAGTAGAATAGTCCTTTATCCCAAACTCAACCTAACTCAACCCAACATAATATTTATTTTATATTTATTTATTTATATATTTATTAAATATTATCTACAATAATTTTTTTGTTATTGTTTTAGTTGTGATATGATAAAATAAAATATATGATAAAATTGATAAGTTACGACTAAGAAAAAAGAGTGCAAAAGATAGAAATTGCAATTATGTTCCAAAATATATCAAGAGTGGTCTCAATTTATAGAGAATGAAAAATTAATTTTTATTTATTTTTTTCATATAAATTAATATCAATAATTTGAGTTACAATTATCTTATTATAGAAAAATTTTATAGACCAATAAGAATGGGACACTTGCCCAATTTCACTCACCTCATTTCTCTCTCCCTCCTTGTGGCTAGGTTGCAATCCAAGGTCACAATTTGACCTGAGTCGCAGATTTTGCTATTTTTTATTCTTTTATTATTTTTTAGTTGGTGACCTAATAAAGATAGTATAATATTTATTTTATTTTTATTTATTTATTTAATAAATATTATCTACAATACATTGTTTGGTATTGTTTTATCTACAACCTAACCCAACATAATAATTTTAATTGTGTTCCAAAATATATCAAGAGTTGTCTCTATTTATAGAGTATGAAAAAATACGAATTGTGGTATTTTTTATTTTATTTTTTAAGATAAAATAATATCAATAATTTGAGTTATACTTATCTTTATTATATAAAATTTATAGTGGACCAATGAAAGTAGGACAAATGTCTCATTCCTATTGTATGAAGTTAGATAATATGGAATCTCCAAAAAATCTTCATGTAATATTTTTATTTATATTTTTTAATTTATTTTTTTTTTCAAAATTTTCAAAATTAGTTGTATGGCGCTCATATTTCAACTTTTTGCCAAAAATCTTTTGTTTCATTATATTGATTTTAGGCGGGAAATGAATTATTTTTTTGCTGATTTTCTTGATCTTTTTCAAATAAATATCATTCCCTCTTTATATATTAATAAATTTGCTATATATGAATATATAATGTTATATAAATGTTTATTACCCAAATAGTAATTAAAAAAATTATGTATAACAACACGAGATGCTTCATAAATTCAAACAAAATGATACAAATTACATAACACAATGAAAAAAAAGCATTACAAACTACGATTACAATAACATTAAAACTAATTTTCTGAATTAGAAAATTCCTCCCATAAATGCTCAATCAATGCATTACGAAGGGCGATATGAGCTTCTCTATCTCGAATTTATCTGTATCGAGCAACAAATGCTTGGAACTGAGAAGCTTCATTACCAACCGTTTCAACATCAGGGATTGGGGCTTCTATCGCAGCTTCAATCGGTGCAGAAAGATCTCGTCCATCCCCAATTATCATATTATGCAAAATAATACATGCAGTCATTATATCTTGTAAGTCATTTTTACTCCAAAATCGTGCAGGATTAGCCACAATAGCAAATCGACTTTGGAGTACTCCAAATGCACGCTCCACATCCTTTCTGCATGCTTCTTGTTTCATTGCAAAATATTTTTTTTTTCTGACTCCGTGGGTCACGAATAGTTTGGACAAGAGTTGCCCATTTGGGATATATATTATCTGCTAAATAATACCCCATGTTGTACTCTTTACCTTGAATGACATAATGTGCAGGAGGGGCAATTCCTCGAGTAAGTTCAGAAAATAAATGAGACCTCTCTAACACATTAATATCATTGTTGGATCCAGGCATACCAAATTATGCATGCCATATCCAAAGCTCATAATCAGCTATAATTTCTAGAATAATAGTTGGAGATTTACTACGTCCTGTATATGCACCTGCCCAAGCTGTTGGACAATTTTCCAACGCCAATGCATACAATCCAGACTACCTAACATTCCTGGAAAGCCATGTTGCTTACCGATATAAAGGAGTCTTGCAATGTCATTGGCGTTGGGAGAACGAAGATATTGCTCTCCGAATATCTCTACAACAGCACGACAAAATTTCTTCACGCATTTAATTGCGGTGGACTCTCCAATATTTATGTATTCATCTGTCGCATCTGTTGTACAACGTATGCTATTATCTGAAGCGCATCAGTTAACTTTTGATAGGTAGACAATCCGAGTTTACCAACTACATCCCTTTGCTGCAAAAAATAATCATCATGACTTTTAACTGCATTTGCTAGACGAAAAAATAAATTTCTAGACATCCGAAAACATCTACGAACCATGTCTTCATTAAATTTTGGGTTTTCAGAAAAATAATCGTTATAAAGACGATTTGCAGTTGCTTCTCGATCGCAAAATATTATTTTTCGACCAGGAACTAAACCTCCAAGGCTTTGACCGCCTTGTTGAGTTCTAAGAAATTCTTGCACAAGAATATTATTGTTGTAAATTTGTTGTGCTATCAGAGTTTGCTCTGTATCATAACTATCTAGCAATTGTTCCAGTTCATCATCAGATGAACTTGAAGAAGAAAATGCATAAGAAGTACCAATGTGATTGGGATTCATATTTTTCTGGAAAATGCAAGCGCTTACGAATGAATAATTTCTGTGAAGATCTATGTATAAATAGTGATATAGAAATCTAGAACTCTTAATCTGAGTCGTTTAATCTTGATTTTCATAGATAAAAATCCTACGGTTGAAATGTGGATAAGAAAATCTACACCTTTTAATCTTAGCCGTTAAATCTTTAGATAAAAATCCTACGGTTGAGATGTGGATAAGAAAATCTACACCTTTTAATCTTAGCCATTAAGTCTTTAGATAAGAATCCTACGGTTGAGATGTGGATAAGAAAATCTATACCTTTTAATCTTAGCCATTAAATCTTTAGATAAGAATCCTACGGTTGAGATGTGGATAAGAAAATCTACAACTTTAAATCTTAGCCGTTAAATCTTTAACAGTAGATAACCGGTTATAAAGAGTTTTCATACAATTAATAACCGATTATTTACACTCTACGTGTTTTTTCCAACTGTAAGGGTTCTCGCGAGTGATTATCTTTGAAGTGTCTCAGGACTATAAGCAATTCACTCTATTACAATCATTTTCCAAAAAGTGAATATATTGCAATTCAATTTCTAAATCTTTTAACGAGGATTGTAAGCAATTCAATTTACTACAATCATTTGGAAAATGATTGTAATATATTCATATTTTGGAAAATGATTTAGGGCATATATGGTCTAGACCATATATGGTTAGGACATATATTTACAGTCTAGACTTTCTTAGTGAATATATGCCCTAAACCATAGATGGTCTAGACTGTAAATATGCACTAAATCATATATTTTAGATAAGAATCCTACGGTTGAGATGTAGATAAGAAAATCTACACCTTTGAATCTTAGCCGTTAAATCTTTAGATAAGAATCCTACGGTTGAGATGTAGATAAGAAAATCTGCACCTTTAAATCTAAGCCATTAAATCTTTAGATAAGAATCCTACGGTTGAGATGTAGATAAGAAAATCTACACTTTTAAATCTTAGCCGTTAAATCTTTAGATAAGAATCCTACGGTTGATATGTTGATAAGGAATTCACAACTTTAATCTTAGTCGATAACTCAGATTTTCCTATCATGAATGTCAACCGTACGATTCTGATCAATGGAAATGAAATATACTATAAATATGCTACATGGTGAGGCAAAATGTTGTACCACCAAAATATAACTTCATCATTTTCTAATTTACGTTTTAAATTCATTATCTTGTCGTAATTTGTCTTATGGGTTCCAACTATACTCCGAATGAAGAGCAACACCTATGTCGGTCTTATATGAAAATTTCTCAAGATCCAGAGAGGTGGGCATATCAAAGTAGAGATCAATTCTGGCTCAGGGTGACGAACGAGTATAACTCTAGAAAACCTAATCCAACCTGGTCTGATCGTCCACAAAGATCGATCCAATGTCGCATGGGAACTATCAATACTGCTATCAAACTTTTCAAATCTTGTGTAGAGCAAATTGAAAATGCAAACATCAGTGGAGCTTCTGAACATGATGTGGTAAGAAAATTTACAAGCATTATTTATTTATATTTAAGATATTTTTTTTATATTTTCTAATGTTATTTATTTTCACATTGTAGATGGAGCGTGCGAATATACTTTATTCGCAAAACCCAAAAAATAAAAGTAATAAATCCTTCAAGTACGAGCATGTGTGGAATATTATGAAAGATTTTACATTGTTTGAGTGCACATCAACCAGGCGTAACACTTTTTCATCTCAACCGCAATCAGATACACAACCTGAGTCTCCCATTTCACCTAATCCAGAACTATCTAATTTTTCTATTAATTTAAGCGATGAAAATGCTAGTGGTGGTTCATCATCACAACGACCATTAGGTACTAAAAAATCAAAATTCAAGAGAAAACAGGGAGAAGACGTATCTGCAGTTATAAAAACAATGAAAGAGGAAAATAAAAAATTTAGAGAGATGATAAGAAGCTCAGTTGTAACACCCCTCCTTATCGTAAAATCAGAGTGCGCAAAAATTCGCAAAGTTATTTAAAATAAAGCCTTTTTACTTTGCGAAAACTGATTCGGGGTGCTACCTTAAAATCGTGACTTAATTTGGAAAACCGTTATTTTAATTTTAATAAAATCGTTCGGTTACTGAAAGCATAAGTTCCCAAAAGTTCGTCTAACGATAAGTTCGTCAAAATA